GTAGTCCATAAATGGTCTTCATTTTTCTTTGAGAAAAGGAATGGGAGATAAACACACCAATCATCCATGTCACATGTTCCTGACTGATCCACCCCAGTGAGTCATTACTTATCTAGCAGAGCAAAGAACTCTAGAATGTTGAATCAAGCAACAGAGGGCGACTCCACTCTTTCATTAGACAAAGAGCATTAGTGGTGGGTGGTTTTGAATGTGAAGAGTCCAGTGAGAACTCAGGGAGCTTGAGCACTAGCATGGGAAAATTGCAAGCATAACTAAGGTGCTGGATGATGAAAATTCCTCAACTACATTAGTTATGATCTCCTACTAAAATCAGGAAAAAAATCAGAAACCTGAGACATTGTGTTTAATTTTTAGATTCAGCACCCTTATAGATTTCTTATTTATTTGTTATTCTTTGGCTTTCTCTTGGTACTTTTAATTTTCAGATAAGTTGATGTGCATATCTGAAAGTTTCCATGGTAGGACAAGAGTGACCTAGGAAAAACAATATCCTGATTTTTTGACTGAAATATAATGTGACAAACATGCTCATGATTAGTGGGTCTAATCTAAGAACATCACATTGTATCAACCTAACTCTAAGAAAGCTGGGAATAGAGTTGTAGCTTAGCCAGTACCACTTCTTGGATATAAAATTAACTCTAGAAAGCAACTGCATTACAGATATGCCTACCATGAACAGAATTTTCCTTAGCTCATATTGGTTAAATCCTTAAGTGACAATGTGGTTTAACCTTGTTGAGTCAACATATTGCAAGCAATTATTTAGAACATTATTGCTAGAACAATTTACTGACAACAACTACAATAAACAAATAAACAAACAAATAAGACATAGTGCAAGCAAGTATAATCTGTGAGAAAAAAATTTGGCCAGGCAGTGGTGGCTCATGCCTTTAATCCCAGCACTAGGGAGGCAGAGGCAGGTGGATCTTTGAGTTCAAGGTCAGCCTGGTCTACAAAGTGAGTTCCAGGACAGCAAGGACTAAACAGAGAAATCCTGTCTTGAAAAACCAAAAAATAAATTAATTAAATTTAAAAAAATAAGAAGGACTTGCATGGAGAGACAGAAAGGCAATGCTAAGCATACAATACCAGAAGGATGGGTATCTGGATCTGACAGAAAAGGGAGAGTAATGTGGCCAACTCCATTTTACTCATTTCTTTTAGAAAAACACTCCTTTGAGGAATGGGGTGAGAGAAGAGGCTTGAAAGAGCTACATAGATCAAGTTAGGCTGTGGCTGCAGAAGATGGTTACAAACCTCAACAGGGAACACTTCACTAGTGGAAGTAAAGGAACAGCAAAAACAAACAAACAAACAAACAAACAAATAAAATGACATTAATCCGTATTTACTATTTCAAGAAAAAATATGTTGGCATGCTCTTCTTTATATCAAGGGAAAGTATTATATATTATTTGTGATATGATTTTTAAATAGCAACTATTACCAACTTCAGTTTGTAATTAGAAAAGGGAAGAGTTGGAGAGTTCAGAACTTAATCGTGGACACACAAATAGCAAGAACATAACTAGATGAATGTCCATTGTTTGGATGGTTTCTTTTTTTGAGGTAATGATAGGGAAGTTTGGAATTTCCCAGGTGAAACAATATCATTGAGCATGGAGGAAGAGAGGCAGAAAAATGAATATTTTCCTGGCCATTTAACATTTGAGTGAATAGAAACATCTTTCCCTCCAATTTCTTCTCAAGGAATAAGGGCTAAAGATTACATCTAACTTCTTTATTTTAGTGTTCCAAAATATTTTCCTTCTTACACACATCAATTTTATAAATAAAATATTGCTCAAAATATATCAGTTAAATAAGTAGGTGAGTGGACTTGGATATAAGATATAGAACCTTACCACCTACTGCTTCCTAGGACTTCAAGTTCCATAATTAGACATGCATATGACTTTCTGCTGGAACACAAACACTCATCAACTCCCATTTACAGTAATTGTACCTTTTTGTGAATGACTTTGTCATTTGTTTCCAGGAAACTGCTTTCTATCTCTGCAAGGAGCATCCTTATAATGAAGTAGGGACATAATGATGGTGAGAGATTGTCAGGAGGAAAAAAGAAGAGGCTGAGTGATCAAGACTTTGCTATTATGCTTAGACAATATTCTACTGCATCAGTTAACAAAAGGACATTGTCAGAAAAAGGACTTCTAGTTAATGGCATTGCATGTGTAAGTTCAACAAGGTTGATATTTTCCAAGCAACCAGTTACATGAAAGTGCACATGTTATGTGGACCTGAGGGTCAGTAAGTACATCTGCTGCCTGTACTGTGTTGTGTCTCCTTCATACTCATAGCATCCCTTTATCTTACATGAGTAGTGTCACTTCTCCTGATACCCTAAGTAGATCTATTTGTACCATGAAGCAGAAAGGTAATTCTTGTTCTAATCCGTCTTGCAGATTTGACAGTGACATCAAAGATCAAGAAGTCTGTAAGTAATGACGGTGCTCATTTGTTTAAATGTCAAACCCAAACCTCACCAACTTTCAGGGAACATGTCAGTAAAACATGAACTTCAGTTCACCCAGAGAAGATTTCAGTGTTATTCAGATGTAACTCAGTCCTGCGGGAAATAGCTGTCAGTATCTAGAAAGTAGAGTTCCTTGGGTAAATCTTTCTTTTAAGCTGAATGGAACTGGGTGTTTAAAGACTTGAGGCTGTGGACAGTTGACATTATGAAGTAGCCTCAGTGTAGACATAATACTCGTCCCCCAACCAGAATATATATATATATATATATATATATATATATATATATATATATATATATATATATGAAACTATGCAATCAGGCCATGAAGACTGTATCACAGAGTCTTTGCAAAGCAAACTAGAATACATCAAAGAAGAGCACATTTATCACAAAGAGTAAGCCTGAAATAAAATTGGGGAAGAAATATGGTGTTGGTTTATAGTTTTTCTTGCTTTTAATTTTTTTTTTTTTTACTTTTCTTGAATTTAAGAGCAGTAATATTCCTTCCTAGACAGGGATTTCTTGTGAAGTGAATGGTAGTGGTACTTTACTGGCAGTGTACATGGATCCAGAGGAGAAAAGGAAATCCATCCAATAGGCTTTTTGCAGACGACCCAGAACAGAGAATCTATTCTCTACATGCTTTCTAGCTCTAGAGTAGAATTACAATTGAGAATTCTGGATGTGAGGTCAGAACAAATGGGGCTGAATCTGAATTATGTCCTCTAATAAGCCATCATTGTTTTATCTTCTAGTGTGGTTTATTTTAAGATTTAAGCAATAGAGTGTATGTCAAGTGGTCTTGCAAAGGTAGGTACTCAATGCATGTTCAATTTGATCATTCACTTAGCAATAAGTATGGGCCCCATGCAGTAATTGCTCATAGTACTCTGTTTATAGCTGTGACTCTGAAGATGACAAGGTGGGAAACAGAACAGATACAACCATTAAAATCTTATCCTTATAACAAGAGCTGAATCACATCTACTCACATGTCCATTCACTTTCATTGTAGACTAAGAAGATTGTCTTTATTTTTAATCTTAAAAAAAAATCAAAAGAGCAAAAGTATCCTAAAATAATAAAGAGCAAGCTAAAGTTCTCAGAGATTTCTTGCCTCATGACTAACACTCTCTCTAAAGAGCCCCTCTGTCAGTCACACATTGTCAGCTTATCTACTGTGAATTGGAAGAGAAGGTAAAGCCAGGGTAGCATTGAGAACCTGGTGAGTTCTGTCCTTCATTGCAGCTGCAACCGTTTTTTTTTTTTGTTTTGTTTTGTTTTTTGTTTTTTACTTCCCAGTTCCCAGCCCATTTCACGTCCCTCACCCCCCACCCCCCACCCCCCACCCCCGTTTGGACTGGGGAGATTGCACGGTCTCCTGGCTGTCTGCCTCCTCCTCCTGTCATTTTCAACAGACTTCCTCCACACTGCCCTCTGCATTTGAAAAACCTCCTGGTTTCCATTCATCAAGGTACATACTCCTTCCATTCACAATTTAAGTCGTAGCTCCCTCCCTGAAGGAAGCTCCTTTTCTTAACAGAAATTCCCCCATCCTGTCCTAATGAATCCACCAAGCTCCCATAGCTTCCTTACTCCTCCCTCACTTCATCCATCAGAAATTGTGGTTGGGAGCGCAGTCATGAGCGAGCAAGGAAACCTGTGTTTTTCACAGACCAAGACAGACTCTGACATTAAGCTTAGTTTCATTGTAAGAAAAAAGCACCAGTTGGTACAAATATTTTCTGAAACTGATAACAACCACTCACTGGGGGGAAATACGTATTGGTTGAAAGGATGGATGGATGGATGGATGGATGGATGGATGGATGAATGAATGAATGAATGAATGCACGCATGCAAGCATGCATGCGTGCATGCTTGAATGGGTGGTGAGGACGAGCTCCGGAGCACTTTTCTTGCTCCTCCTTCCTCCTAAGGCTCCAGGCACGGTTTCTGTTTAATTCCGCTTCTGTGATTGAGCGCACTTCTGTCTGCCTGCCTCTACCTCCACTCTGCCCCTTCATTACCACTTCTTGACCCGAGCCTAAGCCTCCTTGCTAAAGGGCATGGTACCGAGCTCGCGAAGGCCTTATGACTTCATCAGTTTTTCCGGATGCAAGCCCTCCACAATAAACCCACCCAGCCTGCACAAAAGCATTACAGATTCCCCTACACTCAGCAAATCCACCTGGAGGTCCTTGTTCCTCTCCTTGGGTTTATAATCTAGGTTCTCAAACAGAAACAGTTTCCCTCTTTTCTCTGCAGACAAACATAATAATCATTCTAGAGCTCGTTCCTAGTTTGTAAAATCAGAAAACTTAACAACAACCAAAAAATTATTAGAAACCTCACCCAAGAGCAGCGACCTCTTTGTTTGCACCCCAGGAGAAGGGAGGGGTCTCCCAGCCTTGCAGTCTGGGCGGAGGGGAGGTGACAGCCTTTCTGGAGGGTTGCCCGTGACCAGACTCACCCAGGACGTTCCCGATGAGAGCCACAACGAACACGATGATGTACCCTGCGATCAGGACCCACTCATATTCTTTGGGGTGTAGGTATTCCCTCCACAGGTACCGCAGGAATTCCTCGTCGTCATAGTCCGTGGGGTTTAAAAACGGCTCTTGAGTTTCATTCAGCTCCGAAGCAGATGACCAGTTGCGACGAGAGAGGGAATCCTCCAATTTAGTGCTGGACATCACGGACTGGTCCTGTTGGCCTCAGTGCTGCAAGCTTGTCTCTGCCTGCCCCATGAGCACCGGGGATCCGCGGTGGGAAAGGCTGCGCCGCCGCGACTAGGGGCTCCGGAGCCGGGAATGACGTGAAAAGTTCCTGAGCCAATGCCTCCGGAGTCCTGCGCCCGGCAACTTCGGCGGCCGCTTCAGTGTCTTTGCAGGGGATTTGCACCAGGAGAAGCTGCTGAGGAGCTAGGGAAAGGGAAGGGGGAGGCTGCAGCAATGACTGGGAGCAGAGATTTACCTTGACCTCAGCTCCAGCTCAGTCACTCTTCATTCCAGCAGTGAGTCCTCAGCCCACAGCCTCCTCCAGGGCTGAGGGGCAGACAGATGAAGCTGAAGAAGAAAAAAAGGGGAAGGGGTAAAGACAATTACCTTAACTTGTTTCTTTGTGGATCAAATGTCCTTTTTCAATCACTTTCCTCCTGTTTTACATGCAATTTTTATGATATACACTGGCATGCATAAGCCTGTGGACATGGCTGGAAGGTCAACACATGGTTAACACAGGATCCATTGCTTAACTTGTCTTTATAATGCAAATGTACAAGTAATCATGAGCCACTCTAGTCTCAAACAGGCCCATGCAAAAGTCATTTCATCCAAATATTTTAATATTTAATACAGCATCGCAGTGTTTATCATGTGCCAAGTTGGCAGTGGCTGAACTGCTAAGGCATTGCCTGCTACTCCTTATCAAAAATGAGGAGAGGATCATTTTTAATTGAAGGTTGTATTTAATAGGGATTTGCACTTTCAAGGGCAAGTGTAACAAAAACACAGCAGAACCTCCTATTACTCTGCTAAATGGACATAGTATTAAACTGACTCCTAATGACTTATTATAGTAATAGATTAAGGCATCTCTCAGCCCTCATCAGAGATGCTTCTGTTTGCAGTGAATGATGATTAACGCAGAGATCCAGAACTGGCCAAGGTGCAGAGAATAAGAGACTGCAAAATGTTTAGCCCTAAAAGGAATACATTAGACCACAACCACTCCTCTCACAGCTCAGGGATCAGTTGGGGAAGAGGAGCCTGAAAGAGCGTGAGTGTCAGAAGCAATAGATGACTGCAAGGAATCAATGTCTTCTGGACACAGCTGGGCAGCTGCACATGAGAACTCACAGTGGATGTGACAACATGCACAGGACCTGTGCGAGTCTAAGCCAGAATAAATCCCAGCATGGAGAGGAGAGGTGCACAGGAAGTACCTATCCCGGCTGAAGATCTATTGGCAGTTGTTAGTTGCTGGGAGAGTCAGTTTTTTCTAAGAGTGTATCATCTGGTAAGTCTCCCATCCTTAGTGAAAGACCCTGTATCCAAAAATATCTGGGTTCAAATTCGTCTTGATGGGTTAAAAAAAATAAAAACACAAAGTTGGGAATGTAGGGAAGGCAGGGTAGATCTTAGACAAGTTGGGAGAGGGAAGTAAATAGGATGGATATAAGAACAAAACTCTCAAAGAACTAATTAAATGATGTTGTATTCATGTATAAATTTAATTTTGTTAGAGTTTTAAGGAGATCATTTAAATGCTAATGTTATCATCCAAAGAATCATTCATTCCTCTGGAACTGCTGGCACCCGTGAAAGTGGGGAGCAGACCTTCCATAGGCTTCATTCAAATCACCTAATACAAATCTGGTACCTGTTGATGGCTGGTGTCTTCCTATGACTTATTAATATTCATCTTCCTTTCCTACGCTATTCATTTCAACTGTGAAGGCTTGCTGCACCTTTGATTAGATTTACACTTGTTAGTGTCTGCAGATTCCTTGCTATTGGTGATCTATAAACATGGGCTCCATCTGCTACTTCTGAGTCACTGTCATTAGCTGTCATTGCATGGCATTTAACCTGTCTATACTTTATCTTCATTTAAAAGTCTTCTACAGTGATTAATCATGTCTGTGTGTTACCATTGTCAGTGGGGGAGAAACGAGAACTTCTTCAAGACTTTATTCCAATGTGTGCCTTAGGTTGTAGCAAGCCTAGATTTATCTCCAGTCAACGAACATTCCATTTCTTCTTCTCCGTGCTTTATCAGATACTTTCGTTAAAGTCTGTGGTACTCTGATGCCATAAAAATTCCACTGAAACTTCCCAGTTATAATGTGATTTCAATTTCTCTAAGCACAAGAAAGATGATAAATATCTCAATCCTTCCTACTGTTACCGACTGGACCTCTTCTTTATGCCTGCTAACATCTTTTACAATTTTCTCAGGTTATCACTCACTTTGAAATCTTTCTACTGTGCATGAGGTATTGCTGTCAACCCAGTAGCAGGGTAAAATATTATTTCTGATTCTAAAGTTGCCACATTAAATCCTCTAAATTAATTATTTTCAAAACAATGTCTTATATTTGTCACAAGTCTGAATTTGTTTTTTAAATAATATTTTAAAATGTATTATTTCATTGTTTTGGGTCTAAAACCAAGTATAAATTATATGATTTCTCAGCACAAATATTATTTGCTGTCCATATAAATTTCTGCATTAATACTTTCCATAAAAATGAAATGTACCTTATAATATTCTGAATAATTTCTAGCAGATATCTTTGTCCCTCCTAGTAACCTGAATGTATTAAAAATTAGTGAGGGTGAGGAAAATAGGCCACAAACCAGATTTTTTTTTTATTATTTCCTAGTGGTTTTACTTAGCTTGCTCAGCAACTTCAGAATATGTTTTCTGTCCCATCTGCTGTTTTCTTATTTCTAGTATGAAATCATATTGCTGTCTTTTTTTTCTAGGCCTACCATAACTTTCTGGATCCATTTCAGTAGATGTTTCTGAGTATTTACTCTGTTTCCAATAATTTGCCTAGAAACAAAGGCCACAAATATGAGTAAGATCACCCTCAATGACCAGTCAGTTAACTGGGTGATACATGTTTAGGTTTTCAAATCCCTGAGTTGCTGAGGTAGAAAGAAGCATACAATGCTGTGAGGTCACGAAGGAATACCTTAGTCAGCAAACAGAAACCCAGAGTGGATGATTTTGTCACCAGAGGGAGACCTTTAAGCAGAAGAAATTGGAAAACCAGAAGCAAAAAGGTGAAATGAAGCAAGGTTGGCTTTGGAACCACCACTGGTAAGAGTGTAGCGATTACCTTGGAAAGACAGAAATGGGGGACGGAGGGTCAGCAAAGCGCTGCTGTAGGAAAAGAGGCTAATACAGGGCTGCGGGAACTGACTGGAGTTGGGTAATGCTTGAAAGTATGAGTATGAATATAGAATTCTACTATGAGATAATAAGATGACTTCTGAGTTTAACTGTACATTAAGACCACTTTTTAAGACACCTAGTGATTACATATACATTAAGTACAGTGTGGTATTTCAGTATGGTATTGCAGGATATGTATTAAGTACAAGTGAAATGACCAACTCTGGGTAATTAGCATATTCATCACCTAAAAGCCGCCATTTCTTCATGATAAGTACATTCAAAACCAATTCTTTTAGCTACTATGAAGTAAACAATATATTGTTTTTAGGGATGGTCACATTTTTAGGTATTCCTCCTCACCAGCTGTAATTTTGTACATGCTAGCCAACCTCTCCCCCCTCTTTCCTACCCCTCCCCATTCCAGTCTTTGGAAATCACTGTTTTATTTCTTGCTTCTATGAATGAGATTTTGACAACAGGAACAGAGAACCATCCCATGTTTGACTCCTTGGTACTTATCACTGCCTGCCTCCCTTCTCTGTCGGAATGAGACCGAATGCCCTCGGTAATGACTTCACTGAGAGTGAGTATACCCGAAATGAGTGCTGACATCTCTCTACCACGGTCACACATTTTCTTACAACACACTCATGAACTAAATCCTCCCAAGAAGTTTGGAGTTACAGAGGTTCTAGAAGTCTGTAGAAATGGAGATGAGTACTCTTGATGAAGTGTTACTTTGGGATTCTACTGCAAATGGAAAACTTCAGATAAGGGAAGATTCAGCCATGAATATAGTAAAGGCCACTTGCCACCATTTACTGTGAAACATGTGTCCTCTCTACCTGTATCTTTCTATTCTCTGCTATTGCCCTTTTTGAAAATTAATCTATTTTGGCTAGTCGTATATATTCAAATACATATCTATTCAAACTCTTATACTTCTATTACCCAACTCCAGTCAGTCCCCACAGCCACAGCTGCAACCTCTGTTCCAGTAGCAGAAGTATAATGTATGTATTCACATGCTCACCATCTTCCCCACACAGATTCCCCCTTTCATCAAGTTCCTATATAAATTTCATGTCTTTCTGTACTATTTTTACTGTTGCACTTTAGTTTAACTGGGGCCATTTACATGAGTAAGAACATGTAGCTATCCCATGAAGCATGAGGCACTCATCAGTGGCTGTGTCACAAATGACAATGACTTCTCTCCCAGTAGCACTCAGTTCCCATTAGCTCCCCTGGACGCAGTGGGGCCCCACAAGACAGCATCTCCTAGTTTTCCTTCCTATTACCTAGCTCTTACATTCTTTTCAGCCCCTCTCCTACCATGTTTCCTGAGTCTTGGAGGGGGTATATGGGTGTTCCATCTATGGCTGAACACTCAACACTCACATGCTCTCCACATTTTGACTATGAGTCTCTATATTAATTGAGTTAATTGCAAATAGAAGCCTCTTTGAAGACTGTACAGTCTATGGTTATTAATTTGAATACTGTGGAGACAGCTTGACAGCATGTCTGTTTAGGAAAACAAAAGTAGTAGATTTACTCATAGTTCCTATGGCCTCCCCAGCCATGAGCCTTTGACCAGGTTCACAGCATTAGGTATTAACTTACTCTTATGGGTGGGCCTCAGAATAACTAGAAATTAGTTGGTTATTCCCTTAACATTCTTGACACTATTGCACAAGTAGTACCTCTGTCCTGACAAGTTAGTATTACAGGTTTCAAGGTCCAGAACTGGGAAAGACTTCTGACTTTTCTTCCACAGATGGCTGCATAGCAACTTGAGGCGTTATGAAGGCCATACTGCTTAAAGGCATACTGAATTTTGCAACCAAGGTGTCTCACACTCTTTGATTGTGTCTTATCTCAAAAAGGTTCTGTGTTCCTTTTTGCCTTTTGTTCTGCACTATTGAATGCTTTTGCATCATGACTCCTTCATAGAATTGACTGTTGTGAGATCTTTGTATACTATGTGAAATATATTGCTGTGATTGGTAAATTAAAAAGCTGAATGGCCAATAGCTAGGCAGGATTTCGGAGGAGAGAAAGGAAGAGGAAGAGGAATCTAGGCACACAGGAAGAAGCCAAGAGACACAGAAAGGAAACAGGAGGTGGAAGATGAAAGAAAGATAACACAATGTGATAGAATGTAGATAAATATAAGTGGGTTAATTTAAGTTATAAGAGCTAGATAGGGACAAGCCTAAGCTAAAGACCAAACTTTCATAATTAATAGAAGGCTCCCCATTGTTTTATGTGAGCTGGTGGCCCAAAGAAAAATCCAAGCACATATGGAACCCAGCATGAGGCTCAAATATCTAAACATAGGACCTAAGAAAGCTAAGAAAAGTTCTTGACAAGGAGCCAGATGTGACTTCCTCATCCTGCAGTCTCTTAGGCAGGTTAGTGTTCAGAGGCATACAGAGATGCAGCTACCAGCTGCTTCCTGTGGGCTGGAGCCAGCTGCCAGCACCACATGTTAAGCTGAGCCACACAGTAGCTGACAGGGCAGTTTAAGATTTGTGTCATGTGGTCAGAGAACACTGCAGGTGCTTAGTAAAGCCAGGTCCAGACATAGAAAACCTCTAAATAAGCACAGTATGCTTTAAAATGTGCTTAGATGCTAAAGAAAGAAAAGAAAACGGGTACTGGCAGTCATAAAAATAGTTTAAAAATAATAAAGTGTAAAATAATATAAAAAGAATAAGCCACATAAAGATGGGAAATATGCAGGTGTCTGGATACTGTATGGTGCTTTGTTGACTTTGAATTTTTAAATGTAAATGCACAAAAAACAATAACTACTGAGTCTCAGCCACTGCCTTCAGGCTTGAGAATATAGCTGTGCCCTGTATGACAATTTAGAGTTTTTGCATAGACAGACAAAAAAGGCTAAAGATACACAATAGGACAGATTCAGGCAAAAAGGTCCTTAAATGTGTTACAGTATGTTTAAAAAATATATGTGGGGTTGGGAGAGAAAAAAGAAAATATGTAGAGAAAGTCCTTAAAAAAGAAATAGAGTAATAAAGAAAATATAATAAGCCACATAAAGATGGAAAATAAACAGAGAGTCTGGATACTGTATGTTATTATGTTGACTTTAAATTTTTTGACAGTTAATGAACAAATGATAACT